AACCTATATGTATTAACTTAAAGTGGCGGCGGCAGAATAATTGACATTCTGTTCTTCTCCTCAAAATCTGTGTTCTATTGCTCTTCCATCACTCTTTCTTCTACATCTTCTTCACTTTCTCTTCTCATCGAACCTAAAATCTCTTAGTGATCAAGACTGAATAGCAGTTTTGAAAACCTACAGAGTACACCTTACATTTTCTAACCAAGCGGCAACTAATAGAAAGAAAATAGAAGACAAAGGAGAGAGAGAGAGAGAGAGAGAGAGAGCAAATAAGAAGCCGAATTTCTCTGATGCCTCAAGGTTTTCCACATGCACAAAAAGAGGCAAAATACTTTGGCATTGTAGAAGGACAGCAGTTCTTTGGAGCATTTGGTGTGAAAGGAACACCAAAATGTTTGAGAATAGAGCACAGAAACTGGAAGATACAATAGACCTCATTAGGTTAGGGTGGTCCATTGAGTTTTGACTAGGGATTAGTTCAAAGGAATCCCCATGAACTCAATCCTAAGAGGATGGACTGCAATTTCTGGATAGGGTTCCAAGCAGCTATCAGGTTCCCCGACTTTGAACACCCCTTGAAGCTGGAAATATAAAGCTGAATTTTGATGGTGTTGCCATGGGAATCTGGGCCAATTAGGTATTGAAGGAGTAATCAGAAGTGAAGCTGTATTAATATTATTAAGCTATTCAGGACCAATGGGAGAAAGAAATTCTTTGAGAGCAAAAATTGCATGCACCATTGACTGGGTGGTTGTTAAAATTATGCCTGATAAGAACTTGAATAGGAAATGAAATGATGAAAACAGATAGAAGAATGAAAAGAACAAAAAGGAAAAAAACATTAATCCAATTTCCTTGTGAACATTGTCAAAAAGAATTGGTATCCAACGTTGTACTGTATACCATGTGGCTACAGACTGACTTGATGGTTGGAGTCAATAAATGAGTGGTTATTGGACAGAGAACTGCACAAGAACAGAACAAGCCCATAAAGTTGACAAGATAATAGAATTGTAGAACCAACTTACCAACCCACTGATATTGGAAAAAGATCCAGGGTCTTATGTACAATGATAAGGGTCCAGATTTTTCAAGCAATGGGAAGGTTATCACCACGTTGCTGCAGGGTTGGAGTTGGACAGTGAGGAAGGGTACAAGATTGGCCCAGGTGGGTTGGAGCATCCTATTGACCAGCCAAAATAAGTACTTAGGGATTGTTGCTAAGAAGTTGCATAATTACCCCCATCGAGGTCAAGGCAATTGTGGAGGCACACCCAGAGGTTGCAGCAGGGTGAGACAACAGGCTGTTAAATAGATAGTTGTCTTTCCTCTATACATTTTTATTTTTATTTTGTTTGCTCTGTGGGGCTACGCAATGGGGGTAGCCCATCCCCCAAACCCATAACCCCCCAACCCTTGTGCAGGTGGGATTTGATCCCAAGTCTCTGCTACAACCAGCCAGAGACCTTATCAATTAGCCAGTTGGCATCTTGCATCTTTCCTCCATAAACATCACCCACCTTTCTCAACCAATACCAACCACCAAGAACAGGAAAAAGGGGGCAAAATAGTGATAAGATGCTATCCATGAGAACCCTTGAAGAATATCGTCCATGGAAAAGGGGGCAAAAGGTTTAGGCCCTGTTTGGCAACGTCTGCGAGAGTGTTTCTGCTATTTCTGGCGTTCCTGCAGAACAAAAACATGTTTGGCAAAAATAAAACGAAAGAAACGAGCCATTCCTGCACGAGAACAGCACCCAAAGAACACGTTCTTTGGGAGTGACAAATCAACGCTCTCAAAGAACACGTTCTCTTGGAATGTGAGGTTCCCACAACATCCCTTATTAGTTATGAATACGTGTGCCACATTCTCACGTGAGAGTAGGGGCATTTTTGTCATTCCACTCAAAATAATAAACTCTAAGCCATAATGTTCATTCAGCGTTCCTTCGACCTCATCTCTACCAATGCACAACCCAGGGAGGTGAACACTAAGTCAAGGACAGTGAATAGCTGGAAACACATCTCCAATGACTTTTTCCAAACCAAAACCATTTATACAGGTATGGTTTTCTTCCTTCTTGCCGTTTCTTTATTGTAGACATGTGGATGCTCTGTTTTTTGGTCCTCTGATCTGTAGTTCTCCCAACCCTTGTTTTCAGAGATAGAGATAACGATAGCTAGCTTAAAACACTAGTAGATAACTCTGCATTTCTCCCAACCTGTTTTGGTTGGAGCTAGGCCTTAAATCGTAAAACGTAATTATTCTCCCAAAACCAGAGAATCTAACACGTTACAAGCAAGGTGAGATAATGGATATACAGCATGTCAGTCTCCACACACTCTTCTCTTAAACAAATAATCCAACAATGGCTTCCAACCCTTGTGCAAGTTCAACCCCCCAAACCCTGCAAATCTTCTCTAATCTGTCCACCAACTTCCTCTCTAAACCAACATGTACAAGTAGTAAAAGCAAACCCATTACTAATGGGGCAAGACAGGAGCAATTTCTATTACAAAGTGATTAAGGAAGTTCAAGTGGTGCCACATTTTATTGGTGAATGGGGAGATATTACTATAACATTGAAGGATGGGACCAAGGTAAACCTTGGAAGTGTACCCAGGTTTAGGAAAGTTGTCAATTATTGCCTTTCCATGGCTGATTAATCTGTGGTTTCGGAGGTAAAGGAAGCTCGGCTGAAAGATTTTCTGATGGCCTTGTTTGTTTAATTTGTTTTGCGAATTCAACCAAAGGTCCTTTAAATGAGATATGTAATAGTTTTTCTTTTTGGAAAGTTTAGCAGGAATTCTGTAGATGGTAATTACAAGGAAACTTGTTTGAAATATTGATTTATACGACTTTTGTTGCTTGGTAGTTGGGAAAGTCTGTCTTGCATGCATTGGTTTTATGTGAGTTTGTTAGAAATCTACCATTAATTATCTATTGATACTTGAGAATGGAAATGGTAGAATATAAAAGAAAAACACATAGAGCAAAACAGACCCACAGGAAACAGAGCATAACAAGAAACACTTGACAAAGACTAAAGGCTAAGGACTAAGCACATGCAACTAAAGACTAACACAGCACGACCCCTAAACACCTAAACAAGACCAAAAACACCATTGTTAACTTTCAAACTTCCTGAATATGCACCAGATATTCTAGTGTTTACAACTTATTTCTATTGTTAATTCTACGATTTTCTTACACAAATATCCTACTATTTCCAAATCCCAAAAAGAGCATCACCATTCATTCATCAAAACTAACAACATTTGTTAGGAGTGGCCGAATTATTTCCATTTTATTTATTTTATATTTGTAGTTATGTTGTTCACTTCTACTGTTTACCTTAAATAGTGGAATGATGAAAAATTTACAGTTCAAAACACGGGCAAGAAATAGTTTAGTTATCCAAACATTATTTCTATTTCTATAGAACAAAAATTCATTCTCAATGAACAAATTGCCAAATGCCTCTGTTGTTCCTGAAGAGTAAGAAATAAAATTCTTGTTCCAGAACAAGAATTTCCTCGAGAACAGGAACAAGTGAGAACATTGCCAAACAGGGCCTTAAAGTCTTCACCCAATGCACCACTTAAACTGAGATGCTCTCTAAGGTGTCTTCCTTAGGTTGCTTCTCATCACTGAAGACGTTATCATTCCTCTCTTTCCAACCTGTCCATAGGATTGCAGCCCTCATGCATCTCCACAGGTACCTCCCTCTCTTCCTTGGAAACATAAGGATGGTCTAAAGAGACCATCAAATAATCAGGAAGAGTTTTCCTAGAACCAGAACAAGAGAGAAATTGTTCCCAAACACCAGCCACAAAAGGATAGGAAAACAGTAGCAGAAAGGTAGCTTCTCCATTTGCATTGCACAAGGAGTAGTTGTTTGGTGAAAGGCACTGGCTGGGTTTTCATTTTTGGAGATTTTTAAAAGTGCTGATTTTCGAATAGAAGACCTCTCAGCAGAAAGCCCTCATTTTTGGTGGCACAGGACACAGGTCTATATATGATGAGTGGAGGAGTAAAGGACTTTAAAGAAAGAATCAAAAGAAAAGATGTCTGAAGTTTCAGTAATTCAAATTTGACTATCTTCCAAGGAAGTATCTAAGTAAAACTCTTCTAAAGACCTTAATAATACGAGAGTGTAAGCTCTTACTCTGCTCAATTCCTTCTATAATTTCACAGTGTGTGCGTCCAATTTTCGTATTCAGTTATCATGATCTAATGAATTTAATATATTGCTCAGGTTTTCATCATATATTTCCAACTAAACGCATTGTTCCTTAATTCCGGCATCTAATTTCCATTGTACAGAACCCCATCTTGTATCCCTTCCCTAAAAGATAACCACACGATAGTGATACAAATTTGAGACAGACTAGTAGTTGTTCGATAAAAAAGAACACTATGCATCTTAACTGAAACAATTGCAATTGTAAACCAAAAACCCCCCATTATTACTTGCACACTATTTCAATCTAGGAAAAAGGGTGTCGACTTCTCTCAAACTCCAACACGTCGCACTGGCCAAACTCAAACTTCTAACAAGATCGATTTCCTTCATTGCATTGATCGATGAATCAGAAAAATGTAAAAAACAACATAAAACAGAAACTAATAAAAATCTCGGATTATAAACCAGTAAACTATTGATTTTGCGTTTCTTTTTGTCTTTTTCGAAGAAACTAAGAATCAGATAACTATAACGAAAAAAAAACTAGTAACCTACCTTATCAGGCTTCGATGCTGATAACTGTTCCATGTAGGCCAGTCTCTCGTCGAACGACGCCGGTGGCAACTCGGGGACATTGAGAACTATATCGACGCAGAGATTACCGAGAGTAACAACGTCAGCCTCCTTAACGATTACACTCTTCAACCTCTCCTCCTCTCCACGATCGCCCAGGAAGCTCAAAGAACTGGGACGATTCTTCGGAGCCGAGATGTCAATTCCCTTGCGGTTAAAGATCGAAAGAGCTCCACATTTCGCCGAATTTGGCGGGAAGAGACGATTGATGATCCGAGGGTCTTGAGAGAAACCAGACTGTGGAGATGTTACGCTGGGAAGCTTGAGGAGATGCATCGAGAGAGAGAGAGAGAGAGAGAGAGGGGGGGGAATGTTAGTACATGGAATGAAAGAAAAAGAAATTGAAAACCTAAGTTGGCTTGAAGTTAAGTTCAGTGAAGTTGAAGTGGAAGACGTGAAGCAAAAGACTCTGAAAAGGTTTTAGTGTTTGTTTGAGGTTGAGACTTGAGACGAGAGGTTGAGGGTGAGAGTGAGGCCAGGAACGAAAGCAAGTAGGCCAAGTGGAATTTTCAATTTTCAACCCTTCCACATATTCTCCAGTTCGGAGAGCTTTTAGGAACCTGAACACAGCATACCTGTTTTCATGGACATACCCAGTAGTACCCACTGGCCACTACCACTATCCATTAAATGGGGTCAGTGAAAAATACCCCTCAACTTTCATTTGTGAAAGATTCCTTTGAACTTTTACTTTGCCAATATCTACCCATGTTCTTTTATTTTTCATGTAAATAAGGCAATGGCCATTTTATCTATAAAAATCCGTAATTAAAAAGGGGTATTTTTGTCCCAGTAGTACCTACTGAGTGGGAAAGTTATTTATCCACCTAAAAGATGAATATCACTTATCCAGGTAAGTGGTACCTAAGAAAATAAACTTTCCCTGGTCCCTACATAAATCTTAAAAAAGAACATGGGATTATTGGTCAATGGGAACCAAAATCCCATTGACCAACTTTCCCCCTTCTCAAAATCCAAAAAAGAGAATCCCCTTAAACCCTAATCGACAAAAAAATTCCTTCATTTCTTCAATTGAAATCGAAACTAAAACCAAAACCAATTAAAATAACAATAATCATTTTTTCACTTGCATAGAAAACAAATTCTTGATCCATTTAATATGAATGTCTCTCTTCATCTTAAAATATAAAAATTACTAGCGGGGACCCGTGTGATGCACGGGATTTACCAAGGAAAGTGAAATAACCAATACTTATAACTAAGGAAAGAATGCAATGTTGTTTAAAATAATTAAATTAATCTATAGTTAACTTTTTTAGTCATTAACTAAATTAATCTAAGTCCAAACTCAAGGTTTAAGACTTTGGATTAGGCTTGGATTGATCCTCATTGTGACCTAACCAACCCAAGTTGTATGAATCGTAACATTCGTAATTGGACTGGACCAATGTCACCAAACCAAGTGCAACCCATGCATGCATTATTTTTAGTTTTTTTAACTATTTTTAGATAATATTGAAGCCAAATGAACTATGAGGGATGGGCCACCCACATTGTGTGGCCTAATTAACCAAAAAATTAAAAATTTTGGGCTAAATTTTGATAGTGTATTAGTAGCTTTTAAGGCTTCTTGGCCTAGCCCAACCCACACCTTAAGTGTATATATATAACAATTTCTATATATATTAATATAAATTTGTTATCTAAATATCCACATATGCATATAACTTCCAAGTTGAGCTTATTAGGGGTTGTTTAGTTTGGGCCCTATCCATAAAGCCATCATTGGATTCTAMAAGTTTGATACCCAATTAGAGTTCAAATATGATTATCCCTGATAATGTGTGGGCTTGATGCATATCTCAGCCAGCCCTAACTCAAAAGAAAATAGTTTATTGAGTTTGCAAATTTATAGATCTAATCGGGTTAGGTTAAGTTATAAACAATTTGTTACTTTTTATTATTAATTTTAATTATCTTACCAATACTAATTTTTAATAGTTGCTAGATAACACCTAGGGGTGAGAATTTGGTTTATTCAGTTAAAAATCGAACCCAATAAATCGAAATTTAAAAAACTGAACAGGAAGAAAATAAAAACTAAAATAACCAAAAGCAATTTTTTTTATTCCATTTTTTGTTATTTTGGTTAAAACCAAATTTTAATAATATATACTCTATTATCTATATTATAGCATATAATATATATTATGAAATCAATTTTCATTATATTATATATTATATCTTACATATTATATATCGTATATTACATATAATAATAGAAAGTTTAGTTAATTTGGTTAACCAAGTTTCTAATTCTAAAAACTAAAACCAAAAATAAATTTAACCAAAAACTAAAAAACCAAACTGGAAAAAAAAAACAGAAACCAAATTTTTTTGTTTGGTTTTTGGTATTAACCGAATGGTGCTCACCCCTAATAAAACCTATTAAAATTTAATTATCCTATCAATAAGTTATACTTGCGCTTGATGTAGATTTGAAATAGACCTAGCTTAGAAGAAAATATTTGTTTGAGCGCAAAGTTGAGGTAAGCTATAAATGATTATCCCCAAGTAAAACGAGTCTTACGACATTATGCAAATGGTTTAATTTTTATTTTTCATAATCTTTTACTTTTTATATTTATTTTAATTATCCTATTAAATTATAATTCAGTTTTTTAATTTATAAACAACTAATTAGCGCTTATTAATTTCATAGCTTATAATAATTGCTAGATAAAAACTTGCTAAATTTTAATATTTTTATTAACTTTAGTAATTTTAATTATTATAGTTATTAAGCTTCAAATTATATATAGATTGCACGTTATAGGTTTATAGATGAACCGGGATCATTTTAATATTGTATTTATTAATAAAAAATACAGTTAATTATTTAAAAAATACTATAATTATTATTAATACTATATAAATAATGTAATTATTAAAATACTGTTTTTATTGAATATATGGCTAATTAATTAAATACTAGTAATTAATAAATATTGTAATAAATTAAGTTCTGTTAATTAATAAATACATATTTTTTAATAAATATATTATTTATTAATGTAATTATTAATACTGTTTTAATAAAAACTGAATTTATTAAAATACTATTAATTATTAAAAAATATTATATTTATTAAAATACTATTAATTATTAAAAATATTGTAATTATTAAAATATTGAAAGCTATTAAAATATTGTAATTATTAAATTACTGTATTTTCAGAAATATTGCTAATTTATTGGCTAAAACAGTTAAATGTAATTTTATGGTAATTAAGTATAAATGTTTTGGTAATTAAATGTAATTTTTTTCTATTTACAGCTTAAATTATAATTAATATTAATTACAGTTTAAAAATAATTATTGTTAATTCTATTACTCTTAATAATTAAAATACATTAATTTTTCATTATTATTCAGTATTTTTTGCAATAAAATACAATTAATTTATTTTCTTAATTATTTTTAGTATTTTAATTAAGTTTTAGGTTTTTCAGAATTTTTGCATATGAATATTTTTCAATAATTTTTAGTATTTTCAGCATTATTTTTTTGCATATTAGTCACTACAAAATTATTTGCATTTGCTTTCAGTAAAAATAAATCAAATAACTAAATAAATACCATAGTTTATAAAAAAATACAGTTAATTTTCAATAATTTCTGGTTGGGTATTTTTTTAATAATTTTTGGTATGTTTTAATAATAAAATACTATTAATTGTACTTTTTAATTATTTTTCGATAAATATCCTTATGAATATAAAATACTATTAATTTTCAATATTTTTAATTATTTCCAGTATTTTAATTACGTTTAGGTTTTTCAGAATTTCCAGATTATTATTGTTGGTATTTTTTTCATTATTATTCAGTAATTTTTGCAATAAATAAAATACATTAACTAATTATACAATTAATTTAATTTCAAGATTATTAATTAATTATATCAATAAATACAATTAAATTAAATTTTTTAGTTTTTTAGTATTTTAATTAAGTTTTAGGTTTGTTTAGAATTTTTGGATATGAGTAATTGCAATAATTTTCAGTATTTATTTTTGCATATTAGTCACTACAAAATTAATTTGCATTTACTTTCAGTAAAAATAAATTAAATAACTAAATAAATACCCTTATGAATATAAAATACTGTTAATAAAATGAGTTCTGCATTTTAATTTTTCATTTATTTTTATAATTTTTAATGAGTTCATTATGCACAATAAAGGTCTCAACTCAAAAAATTATTAATTAATTAAAAATACATTAATACAAAGTTATCTAATAATGTTATTAAAACTATCAATTATTATTTTTATATTTAAATTTCTTATGTTTATTTAATTGTTGATAATTTTTCATTATTATTCAGTAATTTTTGCAATAAAATACTATTAATAAAACGGGTTCTACATTTTATAATTTTAGTAACTTTTATAATTTTTAATGAGTTCATTATGCATAATAAAGGTCTCAACTCATAAGTTATCTAATAATATTATTAAAACTATCAATTAATATTTTTATATTAAATTTCTTGGAATTGAAACACATTTTTAATATTTACTAAGTTTTGTTAATATTTATTTTAAGTGAAAGTTTAGTGGGATTTAAATTTTATAATTTTTTGATTGTTTAATTAGAAAAAATGCAAAAAATGGAAAAAATAGATAAGTATCTTCTCTCAAAGGAGAGACATGCTGACATGGCACATCCAATTTTATTTTATATATTATATTCAATAATTTTTCCAATAAATCAAGAAAAGCCAAACGAAATCATAAATTTTTATCTATAAGAAAGAAACGTATATTATTTTATTTAAATACTAAATCCATGTAGAACTTTGCAAGAATCTATTAGAGCAATTGAGTGGACTTCAATGTTATGTTTAGAAGGCTAATCGAATCATTAATCATTCAAATAAATAAGAAAATGGTAGTTTGGCGATTTAAAAAATTTAAATAGCTAAATGATAATCTTTTTCGATGTTAACACAAAAACTCTAATGGGGGTATTTGTCATAAAATGAGAGTTCAAGGGTAGTAAGGGGGTCTTTGTAATTTATCCAATATTTTTTGGATAAATTACAGGGAGCCATCATGTACAATTTTGTTTTAGCACAAAGACCCCTTAAATTTTTGGATTCCAACATTTTCCCCTATTTTTGTTCTTTCCCTTAAATTTCATAGAATGTTCCTTTAAATATTTCTAAAACACCAAACCATTTTTATGTTTTTTTGGATTTTTATAAATTCCTCCACCTCATAAATTTCTAAAACACCAAACCATTTTTATGTTTTTTTTTTTTGATTTTTATAAATTCCTCCACCTCATAAATTTGTATGAGATTGTACAACTGGGAGTACAAATAGAGGTATTATAGAGCAATGTTTTTAAAATCGGATTGGACCAAAAAAACCAGGAATTGATCACCTGACCAGTTCCATTTAATCCCAAAATCATTTTTTTTTTGCCAAAAACTGTTGATTTGATCAGCGAACCACTGACCCAGGCAATTGGGCCATCAAACCGTTTGACCCGGGAATGATTTTTGGCCTTTTTTTTGTCAAAGCAGGCTGTCCGTTTGGAGGCCCAGGAACCGGACCCCAAAAAGGTTTCTTGTCCAGTCAGGTTTTAAAAACCTTGTTATAGAGTTGGGGATTTGAAACAATACATTGAGAAAATCAAAAAAAAAATTGTGAGGGGAAGAAACCATAAATCCCCCTCCCCTTTTGGATCCATGGGGCTACACAATGGGGGTAGTCCATCTTCCAAACCCATAAACCCCCAACCCTAGTGCAGGTGGGATTTGATCCCAAGTGTCTGCTACAATGAGCAGGAGACCTTACCAACCCACCAGTTGTCACCTTGCAAAACTATTTTTATGTTGTTTGTCAAGAAAAATCTCTCATACGTTACTTTAAGAGACTATTTTGCCCTTTAACTTTTTTCTGAAATTCTAATTCTCACATGTTTCTCTCAACTTTCTTTCAATAAAGTTCATCTTGAGAGTGCTTTGAGATGACGGGTTCATAAACACCTTGAGAACGGTTTGTGATTTAGAATGGTTATTTTCATCATTTTGATATTTGCTGTTATAAGTAACGACAAAATGCCCAAATGTAATTGGGGGGACCACCCCCGTAATTACAAGTGTTTTGGATTTTCTTAATCTTTTGGCCAGATCGACAATCTTGGATCTGGGTCTCGTAATTTCCAAGATTGGGGCTAGGTTTTGTGTTCAGACATGAAAAATAGAAAGGTTTTGTGTTCAAGAAATCATGAAACCTTCTCTATTGGTTAAATAGGAAGCTTCTCAGATGAAGATATCTATTTCTACTATGTGGATGGATCTTGTCGCCAATCCAAACTGTCCGTTAGATAGGGGACCAACATGTCAATAGTCAATTCCACAATCCATCGTGGGTATGCAACAGTGTGCAAGTGAGATTCTCAACTTGGAGAATTAACATTGCATCAGGCCCAGGCCCATTCAAATTTTAACAAATGCTCAACTAGGAGCTGCACTAGTTGAACCCCTATAGTCCAAAATTAATTCACCACATGATGTAAGATTCATTGGTCAGTGGTCAGGGAATTTCCCTAATTCAAAGGTCTCTAACAAGAGTTATATGGGTCTCACTGTTGGTCCAAAACATAATAGGCTTTGATTGCCCTTTTCTTCATATTGAAAAACCTATTTTCCAAACAAACTGGAACCTTAGCTTTCTTGCCACAATAAATTAAAAAAAGAAAAAGAAGCAGCAGTTGCACTATAGAAAAGATAATGACATATTAGCATCTCTAGCCTTTGGAATGCCTTATGACCCTGATACTTTTATTCCATTGTATCTCTGTTGATTGGCCTCTCAGCAAGTGGACTGACTGAATGGACACAAGGTGCAAAAGAAAATTTCTTTTTTGGGTGGGCGGTGGGCCCCCTTCCACCCCACTCCCTATCAAGAACAGTTGAGAAGTTGCTTTCCCAAATTTCCACCCTAGTGCACCCATGGCCCACCTTGGCTAGGTAAATTAGCAGCCCTGCTCGTCTCCCTGAAGACCCAAGTTGCAAAACTATTCCCATTGGGAATCCTTTCTTGCTGCCACCCTTCTGTTACAGTGATAAAGAGCTTGCTCAGCATTTTGAACCCGTTATGCAAAAAGAAGTCCTGGATGTATTATTAGAGGGTTTTTGGATGTGGTTTGAAGCTTTGAGCCTTCAATTATAACCTGACTGTGGCCCATCTCTGGAGAGTTCGAACCCAATATTGGATGGTTCTCACATATATTGACAGCTCAAAATTTTATATAAAACATTCAACATTTTGTGAACTTGTTAAGAGTTCGCATCAAGGTTTTAAAAATTGGATCGGACACGGAACCATTCTGACAACTAGTTCTCAGGTCAAACAGTTCAACCATCCAGTTTGAATTAATAGCCAGTTCTGATTTAAAAAAATAAAAAATGGCCAAAAACCATTATTTGGATCAAAGGTTCAACCATTTGGGTCAACAGATCATTGACCAAATCAACGGTTTTTGGCTCAGGAACAATTTTAGGGTGGAATGAAACTGGTTACCTGACCGATTCCCGGGTCAACCGATCCAACCATCGGATCCGGTCTGATTTTCAAAACCATGGTTCACATTACACAATCCTTAGTTTGGAACCTGTTGTTTCAGTTGCACAGCATATATAATTCTAGATTTATACACTACCATATGGATTTCCAAGGAAAGAAAGGTTATCAAGATGGTACAAATTAAAATTTACTTAAGGGCTTTTGGCTATTGGCTATGGCATTGACTATTCTATTGTTTCTGAATTTGAACTTTTTTTGTCATCATATTCATACCCAACTACATATGAACTTGAAGTGTTAAAAGGTCTCATTCGCTTTTCGGTAAGTTACTTGGATAAATGCAATTACCTGGGTGAGTTTTTTCTAGGAAACACTTACCCGGATAAGTGCGTACCCATGTTCTTTTATTTCTCAGGTAAATAAGGCAATGACCATTTTAGCCATAAAAATCTATTATTAAAAGGGGCATTCTTGTCTCATTCAAGTTCTAGAAACTTCCCCCGATGTGAGAAAGTTATTTATCCACTTAGGAGATAGGTACCACTTACCCGGGTAAGTGATATACAGGAAAATAAACTTTCCTTGGTTCCCACATAAATCTGAAAAAAGAACATGGGATTCTTGGTTAATGGAAACCAAAATTCCATTGACCAACTTTCTCCCCTCTCAAAATCCAAAAAAAGAACGTCCCCAAAGTGGGTGGATAGGGGGTAAAGAACCAACTTGGGAGCTCATGTTAGAATGGGATCGAATTCATCTTACCAATGTACAAATTACTTAGGTGGTTAGATGATTCTAACGACTGATCAATGAACTATCTTAGACCATTATTTTGAGGTGGTGCTTGATAACTCTGAAGTCGGCAAGTCTGGTTTCTGAAGTCAAAAAGCTATTTTTAAATCTAAAGTCTAAAAAGTGACAAATATGCTTTTCTACTTTTAAGAGCCTCTAAAAATATACAAGTGTTTGTATTGGGGTGTTCTTACCTCCTCAATTGGCAGTAAAATCCCCATTCTTCTTCAACCTCCAAATGCCAAAGAACATTGTTTTATTGGGGTGTTCTTACCTCCTCATTGAAGAAAACACGATGCAAATGCTAATGGTGGATAACAACATTGTTTTATTATCATTCTAGAGGAAAGAACTCAAATTAGGGCTCAAATTGAGTTTATAAGGGGCAACACGGGTCATTTCAAAAAGTTTTAGAAGCATTTAAGACTAAGTCAAGTCCTATCATTTCCTGTTTATTTTATCTTAACCAGAGTTTGCATTCAGACCTAAACACAAGCAAACAGGTCACACATCTAAAAAGTAAGTTTCCCAGACGTTAGACATCTGAGAAGTATTATCAAGCGCCACCTGACTGTCCAAGGCAAATGAACTCAGTTGAATTATTAAAACTTTTTTCCTCTTAGGATGCAAAATGATTCATTGTCTGTAGTGGCTATATTGGTTATATTACCAAATGCATCATAATATAATCTCCAGTCCAAAATAGTTCATCTTAGGTAGCCTTTGGCATTCCTTATTTTAAGGACTTATCTCCTTTTTTGCAGTTAAAAAAACTCAATGTCCATAGAGGCATTTTAACTGCAAAAGGGAGATTAGTCCTAAAAATAAGGAATGCCAAATGCGGCCTTAGTCATCACCCTAGCTGGAATTTCTCTACGATTTAATTAATTGTCTAATTCTAGTTTGTAGACAATCATTAAAATCATGGGTTAGACCCACAAAATCTCCACAGGGGTGGTTAATCTCCAGAATGGGTATTGACAAAGCAAGAAATACACACAATAGGGACATATTCATCAATTGATTAGGCAGCCAACATTATAGAAAAAGCCTTGACATATTAAACAGGGAGGGTGTTAAATATATAATTTTAAAATCAGTCAATATTTTTAGATTTTATTGGGATCCATATACTAAGAATCTAGTAACAGGTATGCCTGCAATGAAGAGCACCACCTTTTCTGACAAGTACAATTCACTGTACAGTCTGAAAAAACTTTCGAGAATAAATAAATATCTTAAACTGTACCCAAAGAAAATCAAAGAAATACAACAGGAAAAAAGGGAATCAACAAGTACCATCAGTAGTCTATGTTAAGGACCGACCTTCAAAAATTAGTGTAAATACTCACAACAAAATCTTTGGACCATTTTCCCTACTCCTTGCCAGCTCCTCAAGTCTATTTACAACTTTGTGAGCCACTTCATTATATGCTCTGGAGACCGTGGAATCAGGTGATGATATTACTATAGGATCTCCTGCATCTGAACTTCTTCTGATCTCCTCCTCCAGAGGTATCTAAAACAGTAAAAAACCAACTGATTAAAACAGGAAAGAAATCAAGTCATACAAAATTCATAATGAAGCGTTCACCCTAGTCATGTGTCATCATATAATTGGAAGTTTGAAACCATCCTAACACCTGTTGTTGGCTGCTTCCAATTTATGCATCATCACATAATGGGAACTATCCCAATACCCGTTGTGTACTGCCTCAAAACAATATACCCCATACTGGATATTGGTTACTGCAGTTACATGTAATGTAATTCAATTTGTTATTGACACTTGTGCATACAAACTGAGACATCTATTAGAAGCAGAAAAACTGGTTTCCAAGAGATAATCCACTATCTCCCCAAGTTTCTGACTGCTTCAACCCCAATTGAGAGAAGATTGTCTTTGGTTTACAGCAAAACAAGTAGTAACATGGAATTTTCAAGGTCTACTAAACATAAACCAATACTTTTATCAAGATAAGATAAACTAATCCCAACGTCCATTTTAATTCATTTATAAACATGAGATTCTTAGAATAACCTTTTCTGCACATCTTACTACGTTTGTTAAATCTTTTATGGGACTGGTTCAGATCTTTCTGTTGTAATTACATAAAATTTGCCCATTTATACACCAGTGCACTAACCTGTTAATCTGTTTCTAACGGTCCAAATCTTTTCATCAACTGCATGCACAATTGCAGCTTACTAGGGATTCATTACAAGGCTACTAGTACCATCTAACAAGCAAAACCCACTCAAGGCATAGCAGGAAGAAGATCTCATTCCCCACCCAGCCACCCTGTGCTTTGTACATGTCTATGTAAGGGATATATATTGATAGAACACCCTCACCAAGACATGAAAAGATAAAGATACCTTTGATGTGCAAACATGTGCAGCAGATCTCTGTTCCTACTCCTGAGAGTCCTACTCTTGATAGTAGGCTCAGAGTTCCTAAACATATATTGGCTATGTATTGGAAGGTAAATGAAGTGCAAGTCATACCCTTGTAGGCTCCAAATGAATGGTTTCATTGATGAAAAGTGAATATATACATGGGAATGATGCAGAACTACAATCTACTCAGCAAATATCTTAAAAGAAAATTTATTGCCTTGTCTATAATGGAAGATTATAGTGTTTTATCATACCTCACCAAGGAATTCCATATCCATCTCATCAGCTGTCCTACGTGCTCCTCCACTCCCAAAAATATATGATTTCTTACCACAATGTGGACAACAGAAGCAACTCATGTTTTCTATCAATCCTAAAATCTGTAAAACGTCACAAATTAACCACAACATTAGCTTGAATGTTAATGTCTATTAATATTTCTACTAATAATTAGTTTGTAACTTTGCCAGTTTAAATAGTTGGAGCACCACAGGAAAGAAATATCAAATAATATAAAAAAATATGCTATTCTGACAGATGAAAGAGAATGATGCCATAGCGCATACAGCTGTCAATGGTTCGGGCCTGGTTTGGGACAAAGTGGCCCAGCCCTGAACCAATTACTAATCAGTTCTATAAGACAGACCAAGAACCGACCCAATTATTAATCAGGATAATCAGGTCTGACCTGACTAGGCCCAACTACTTGACATCTATAATTACCTATAATTAAAACAACTTGGAACTTCATATTTGATAACATAACCTTAATAAAAATGACAGTAAATAGTTATCTGTTTATATGTTGATGAAAAAAGTGTTTTTAACCAAAGTTATCTTATATATTATCCATCGAATTTACTCTTTTAGACCAAAACATAACAAAAATTACAAGAAAACCAGGAGACCTCGATATATTATTAACTATATAATCAATTAGGGCCTTAATTGGCTCGAAACAGCAAGAACCGATCCTGACCCAATTATTAATCAGGACACAAACCACAGAACCAGAACCAACATAATCGGTTTGGTCAGTAGACCCAACCCATTGACAGCTCTAATAGTGCATTCAGTTCCTATCATTCTACAGAATATGTTTTCTGAATTTTAAGTATAAGCATCTAAGCAAGCAAAAATACAAAGAACACATCATCATATATTCTTGTGAAATAAGCTAATATTTCACATGAAAGGTTATCTAATACAATTTCAATACCACCAATTATGCATGTGTACATTGTAAACATCATTTTTCCATTTAGTGGTTTCAGCAATATCTGGACTAATTTTCCATTGTTACATTTATTTTAAGATTCTCTTCTTCTCATATTGTAGAAAATTCTATGGAATGGTCCAGTTTGAAGGGCATGCACTTTAGTTTCTACATGGATCCTCTTAATTAAACTGATTGCTAGAATACTCTTAGACCCTCTTTATGCTGAAGAAAAAGATCAACTCGTCCCACAACACCACCTGAATGAAATTCACCCTCATCATCAAGTCTAAACATGAGCAAGGGGAGAAATGAGATGGTAACAATCATCTTGTTAAGGCTAACAACGTATAACCAACTTGAAGAGTTCAAATCACATAATAGTGGAATGAAGACAAGGGGAACAAAATTACCACTTGGATAAATCTCACTTGATAAGGATCATATATCAATGGCATAGTAGAAATTAGTAATAGTAATATGCAGAGTCATACTTATAGCCTTATAGGTTCATGAATCTGACAGCAAAAGAAAGTGGGAAAAAAAAAGAAAGAAATAGAATGCTGAAGCGGGGGTTACAAGGATGGATAGGTATAACTGATACCGTTTGTCAACTAAAAAAAAACAAACACAAGCAATTATATGCACCATTCAAGGGCTTCAAGAAACCATCCCTCAGTAACAGGAAATGTCATGTAGGTCAATGGTAGTTGAATCTCTTATGATCTAGAAGTAGAGGTATCAAAAAGTGCAGGACTCACAGGTATCAAAGAGTACAGGACCCACATGTATCTGATACCGTATCCAACTGTGTCCTTGCTGTATCCAGGTAACATAGTCAAGAAGTACCAAAGTTTGACTGTGCAGTAAAAGACCCTTGGAAGCATAGCTGGGGCATATCCTGGTCCTATCTAGTATAAATTGGATGTCCAATGCAAAGATTTCTACCACAAATTCAAGCACGAAAGAATTTTAGAAACACTTGAGTGGAATACTATGTGATATAATTTGACTAAGTTTTTTATCTAATAATTTGTTTTATATCTCAGACAATTTTTAGACAAGTGCCTTATCAAACTTTAAATATTTTTTTTATTAATTATCAAACTTTAAATATGGTAAACTATTGCAAATGAGTCCATATCAAACTTTAAATATTTGGTAAAGAAATTAAGGACAGTGTATTGGTGATGCTCATACAGGGACTTGAACTTTACGAAACATATTAGCTCCTCTACGGGCATCTATCAATGCAACATCTTGAGGAGTTGATACAATCAAAGCACCTGTCAAAAAACCAACAGAACTATAAACCAATAGAATTATGGTTTATAATAAATTACACCATTATCTCCTAGAAGAAACCATCATCGACATGGAGAAAACAATAGTTGAAAAGGATCATAGCCCAAAAACTTGCAAGTTATCTTTAAATAAAATGTAAAATATAAATAGCTATATCCAGATAAGTGGGAAAATGGCAAATGGTGATCATATCATTTCCCAGGACTACCAGAGTATGTTCCATAAGATGCATACCTTAATAAATGTGGATGTAGGATATAAGGTACAGACCTTAATATCCCCACTCGCAGGAGAAGGAATGAAAAGGTGCCCAACCGGTTTCTCATCTGACTCGCACACATGATACATCTACGTAAAGTCCATATTGTTGCTATGAAACAGGATTAGAAATTTTGAAGTTAAATGGTTTCATTAGGGAGATGATCAGTTGGAGTGCCTCACATACAGCACAATGTAGTCATCAATGATGACTATAACTAATATTGAACAGAAAGAAAAGATTCTTGTAGAATTCATGTATATACCGATGTCTATGTGAGACTGCACATTTTGAATATGTTCTAATGCCATATCCTGGTTCCACCTACTCTAAAATGGAGAGCAGAAGTAGAGGAGAAGAAGAGAAGAAGGAAAATAGAACGAGAGAAATGATGGATAAGAGTCTTACAGCTCTCTTCAATTGGTTGTTATATTTCCATACTTTAACATAACAAAATAAACTCAAATGATTCTATCACCATATTCATACCATCTAACAGAGTTAAATGTTTTCGTGGCCTAGGTGCAATGCCTAAACCTTATGGAATGATTTTAGTAGATTATCCTTTCTCCTAGGTATGATGCTTAGAACCAGTTCCTCTAGATAGGGTACCTAGGAAGTAGAAACCCTTATTGGCTTCAATATAAGTGGTATCCCCTTTTGCACTTGTTCTGCCTCTACTCTTCTCAGTTTCTTCTTTATTACTACTCAGTTGACTTGTTGGTGGCCTTTATTTACGTGGAGTATGGGATGATTCATGATAAGCACCAGCACTCCAAAACCTAGGTGTCTGAGATGTAATGTACATTACTAAATAAAAATCTTTTCTTGCTACACTATATTCTGAAATAAGCACCTACTAGCCATCTAAAGGACTTAATTTAGATAGTAAGATAATGGCTTAATAGGTATGATAAATTGTCCTTTCCTCTATAACTGTGATCACATCACAAGGAAGATCTGTCAACTGATTGGAAAAGATTGCCAGTTGATATTATTAACCTCCATAATTGTTGAGTTTGGGCCGATTTTAAGTTATTGGGCCCAGCTTTGTTTTATTTTTATTCAAGTTATTCAGTTAGGAAGTTATTGGGCCTTAGGCCCATTAATTTATGTTAAGTTTAAGTTGTGCCAGTTCCGCTACTTAAAGTAGCCGCCCTACTAAGGGTATCTTTGTACTTTTTCATTCTTTTATTTAAGTATATAAATTAAGAGGGGTTGGCGGCCAGATCAATTCAATTCTGGCGACATCCCACTCTCTTTTCTTCTTCTCTTTCTTTCTCTCTTGCTGAAACCTTTCAGCTTCTACTTCTTTTCTTCACAAAGCATATATCAAAATCCTCCTTCACACATCGCCATTTTTTCTCTAGGGTTTGTGGACTGAGAGAGAGGGAGAAGAGTAGCGGATAGTCTCTCCATCTTCATCAATGGCGTCAAAAGAGAGAACCCAGGGTTTCGAGAAACCCAGATCTGATAAGTGGTGTGGGCAAGTATTCGAGGTCGCAGATGTACCACAAGCGCAGTCTTTGGGCTATCAAGGCTAAGAATGGTGGTGCTTTCCCCTGGCACGATCCCAAACCGGCGGAACCCAAACCGGTCAAGAAGTTGCCGGAGTTCTATCCCGCCGATGACGTTAAGAAGCCCTTGATCAACAAGCGCAAGCCAAAACCCACCAAGCTCAGGGCAAGCATTACTCCTGGGACGGTTTTGATTATCCTTGCCAGGAGATTTAAGGGGAAAAGAGTTGTTTTTCTGAAACAACTTCCATCTGGCCTACTGCTTGTTACTGGACCCTTCAAGATTAACGGTGTTCCTCTAAGGCAAGTTAACCAATCTTATGTGATTGCAACTTCCACCAAGGTTGATATTTCTGGTGTAAATGTTGAGAAGTTCGATGACAAGTATTTCACAAAGGAAGCTGAAAAGAAGAAGAAGAAGAAGAAGAAGGGAGAGGGTGAGTTCTTTGAAGCAGAGAAGGAGGAAAAGAAGGCACTTCCGCAGGAGAAGAAAGATGACCAGAAGACAGTTGATGCCCCGTTGATAATGTTGAAGCAGTCCCTGACTTGAAGGCGTACTTGGCTGCTAGGTTCTCTCTCAAGGCCGGCATGAAGCCCCATGAGCTTGTTTTCTAGAAGAAACTCCAGATTTTTGTTCATTTTGGTCTGTCAGTAGTCAGAACTTTTGTTTTTCAGTTGTTCTGTTTGTAGTCACTTATTTTTTATGTTTAACAGTTTAAGCTTGCAAGACGCATGATGTTAATTTTTGATGAGTGGACAAGATGAGTCGTGATTCTCAAAAAAAAAAAAAAAAAGCATATATCAAAATCAATTATCAGCAACTTCTACTTGGTATCAGAGCAGGCCGGAGGTTTCTTGAGCTGCTCCATCATGCAGCCCTAGATCAGCCGACTCCATGGTGATATAAGAGGCTGATCAAAGACCTCAGGTAAGCACAGTTTTTGGTGGATCTGTTTTGCCCTATAGCCGGTTTAGGGTTTCCCAACAAATTCAAGAAGAACTGGAGAAAGGGGGAGAGTCATTTTTTTGTAGGACTCTTCAATTTTGACCTAGGAAGTGGCGCCCTAATTTTTTAGGGTTTCTTGGAGTTTTATGAGGGGGCAGTTCAAGTCCCACCTGTTTTGGAGGCCTCTGGAGGGAGCGGCTGCTTCTTCTCTCTCTTCTCCCACTCCCGCGGAAAAGGAATCTTTTGTGGGAGGACCATCTAGGGTACCAAAAGGGTGTCTGTGGTGCCTGAAGGGAATTATTTCATATTTCTTCATCTTAAAGTGATTTTCTACCCTTTTTTTGGGAATAGTGGAGGGTTACAGAGTTTTAAACAAACCGGGGAGTGAAATGGGACAAGGGGGAGGAGGTGTCGAAGACCTTTTCGGGGTTGGGACCATCACAACAGTTAAGTTAGATGGTACAAACTATTTAGAATAGTCACAATTTGCAAAGATGACCATTGGTGTTCATGGGAAGTTGGGGTATACCACTGGTGAAGAAGTGAAACCTGAGACTAACTGCTCCCAGTGGGTACATGAAAATTATATGGTTATGACTTGGCTATGCAATTCTATGCTGCCCCATATAAGTAAAAACTTTTTGTGGGCAAATACAACTAAGAAAATTTGGGATAGGGTTGCAGAAACCTATTCATAGAGTGAGAATGTTGCTAGGGTCTACCAGTTGAGAAACAGGTTATTGCTACCAGACAGGGAGATAAACCTATTGTTGTTTATTTTTCTGCCCTTAAAACCCTATGGCAAGAGATTGACCATCAGGAGACAATGGTTTGGGAAAGTAGTAAGGATGCAACTACCTACCAGAAGCTCTTAGAGAAGAATAAAGTCTTTGAATTTCTTGCTGCCCTTAATCCCAAGTATGACATTGCAAGGCAACATATCCTTTCCAAGGATAGTGTTACTCTCTCTCAGGCATATATGCCTTTGTATCAGGGGAAGAGTGTAGGAGGAATGTGATGATGAAGAATTCGGGTCTTGAACAGTCAGCTATGATTAGTACCGTGAAACCTAAACGGAATGGAGACCGGGGTGGTAGTGAAATTAGGAAGGAAGATAAGAAGAACCTAATCTGTGACTACTGTAAGAAGCCTAAACACACAAGAGATACCTACTGGAAGCTTCACCCTCGCCTTGTGTCGAATAGACTCAAAAACAAGAAGGGAAATGTTAACATGGTGTCCAAGAAATTACGAACAAAGGGAAGAAATGGTTCCATATAGCCATTAGGTAGAAGCAGAAGGGGAATGGGTGCTTAACATTCTAACTACTCTTAAAACATAGGACACAATCAAAGGTTAGGTGCTGCTACTATTAAAAAATTGCCTAACATGACCATATGTGACAAGCATCAACCTTAAACCCATTCTAACTACTCTTCCCAAACAACCTTTGTTGCTTTCCACATTAATCTCCCCCTTTTCTTTAGTTGCCTGAGGAAATTTGGGTTGAAAATGTCCATCACCTCTTGAGGAGGGTCCCACCTGTAGCCAAAAAGAGAGCAGAAAGACTCCCAAATACGAGAAACAAAGGGAAAGGAGACTAATAAATAGAATAGGGATTCTCCGCTATCCCTACAAAGGAAGCACATATGAGGAGAAAGGCAATAAGAGGGCCTTCTTTTCTTCAGCATATCACAAGTATTAACCTTTCCAAGGAAGATTTCCCAGCAAAAAGGAACTTTAGACTTGGAAAAAATAGTGGAAGCTGAAGTCCAAGTTAATAAGATTGTAGAGTTATCTTTTTTAGGAGGGGAAGAATTTGCAAGAAATTTGTTCCAGGAATTGGAAGAAAGATCCCTAGAACAAATAAAGCTTTAAGGGGGAGAGTTGTTTGGTGAAAGTTTTTTAGTTCCGTTGTTGGGTTAGGAATCTTAGGTGATTTTGACTGGGTTTTAAAGTCTTGGTTTTTTAGTTGGACCTTGTTCTATTGGCTGCAAGGGGTGTAATAAGTTTGTATCTAAAAAGTTTGAAGGGCTTCAGTGGTTTGTTCTTCTTGGGTGATATCTTATCACCCAGTTGTACTTGTTCTTTCTTTTCTGCTCTAATAAAATTTTCTTTTTTACTTGCTTTCAAAAGAAGAAAACAGAAAAAAAAGGATCAAATCATGAACATAAATTTTTTTTTATCAGCAAGAAATTTTATTAATAAAGTAGCAAAGGTTACAATCAGTTACAAAAGTTATAGGTAGCAAAAAAGCATTAATCTAATCTGCACCCACAAACAATCAGTTACCAGTACAATGTAGATCTATTTGCCCTTGTTTTGCTAGGGTATCCGCCATCCCATTTGCACTCCGTTTGACCCAACCAAATCATGAACATAAATTAGCAACACAAACATATCCCAAGGATGTTTAAGTACCAGATAAGATCTATATTTCAAAGTTGTAACTTCACAAGATAACAAAAGCTGGAAACACTTCCATGTTTAGGAAACAAGTGACATCAAGGTAGAAAGAGAAACTCATTCTGTAAAAGATGAGCCCTTTAGAAACCTGACAGTTGCAGCCTCTGTGACATAGATAACTGAGCGTCACCAGTGCCAGGAGGCATATCCACTACAAGAATATCAAGCTTTCCCCAATCAACACCCCTTGTCAATTTTTCAAGAGCACTCATTACCTGCACAAACAGAAAGCTAAGAAATATTCTGGTCACAATGCAATTGTTTCCCAGAGAACACAGCTATCTTTCAGTTCTCAATTCAACACCTCTACAAAATGCAATTGCAAGCTTACAATGATTGAGAACTATACGTGTTGTATGAGAATGAAAGAAACTTCCTTTCACCCTCCAACTCACTATCAATGGAGTACATGGTGATATGTAGCTAGGTACAAGGAAAAAAAATACATGGTACAACTGACACTTGCAGTACTGGTAAGTCATAATATGCTGAATTAGCAAAAACTTAGATCAGCATTCCTCAACTACCAGCCAGCAAAGGATAGGTGAGACAATCTCATCCATAAGTAATTTGATTATGAAAAAAGATACAAGGTAGAGAAACAGAACTTATTTGAAGTTCCATAGATAACAAACAAATGCATCATCTTTCATAACTACAATGGAAGAACCATTCATACATCATGAATTCATGATCCATTATCAGAAGAATGCACAAAAGCCACTGTTAAGTGGCAGAAATTAAAATAATGTTTTCAAGAATGGCCCTGCTGATACCTTGTTCTGTAACCTTCTAGAAGACAAGAAATAGTTAATTATTATGAATTCTGATCAAGTAACACCCATAAGCAGGTAAATGGACCTAATTGTTTTTTGCTCATATAGGTCTAGAGAAGCTTAATAGATCTAAAAAGAAAATATAACCAACAGAAGACTCACACTTACATTTGGAAATGAAATAGATGTCTAAATAATAAATTTATTTACTTGCATTCTTCTGATGAGTAATGAAACTGTATGACTGTGAGAGAGATCAAGCCCATAAAAATAGAGACTGCACATCAGAAACACTGGAAAAAAATGATTCTGACAATTCAACAGCTGTAGTTGAATAACATGAATAGCATGTCCATGCAATACTGCAAACCAGCCCTTTCATAACACAAGTTTATGCCTATAAAGCTACTTCATCTGAGACTAATAAGGAATTGAAGCTACGAATTATAATAAAATAGCCAATATCATGTATAAAAAAAACTATACTTGGTTCATGCTTATGCAATGACATGTCCAGCAATCATCATGCAGTATTTTGTATATAAACACATTTTATAAAAAAGTTTAATTTTCAATAATATTTTAAATTTAGATGATATCATGAGGATTTTTCTTCACTATTAACATGTCTAGATTTGATTCAAGGTAAGAGATTCTTTGATATTTGGAACCTGAACGAAAACTATTTGGTTTGGACATAATGAAAAAGATGAGGTATAGTTTGCAGATTGTGCACACCATTTCATTCATCTAGAAATATTGTTTATTTGATTCAAGGCTTTGTGGCAAGAAATTCATATAATTTCAGTGTGTTTTCCATCAAGACCCTGAAGAAGGTTTCCATGTGATTCTTAATTAAATGGCCATCTTAACATATCAGCTCATTTTGACCTCCTCCACAGACAACTTACTCTATTTGAACAGATTAACTAACATCCATCTAAATATGCAGTTAGGCAAATAGCTCATCCAGTCATGTAGTAACCAAATAACAGTTGAATAGCATTATCAAATTTCTGACCACAAAGCAGAAGTATTGTCTTCCTTGAATGGCCCCATTTGTTTTTCCTATTAATAGTCCCTTTTCTGTTCAGAAGTATGCACATTGAAACTCAAAATGGCATCAATAAGGTACATTTTGGTCACAATCTGAGGGATGGGGTCGAACAAGTAGATATATAGAAGCTTCCTATATCAAATCCAAGACTGTACATCAAGGCTCACTCATGACTTTAATTTTATCCTTATATTAGGACAATTGGATAATAACAGATTCACATGATAGAAAATCTCTCAAATTAGAGATTTAATGCATAATCATCAGACTTATGATTTATGAATTCATAAAAAAATCATCAACTGATGAAACAAAAGTATTTGTCCAGGTAAGAGAATTTAAGGTTAAAATGGGGTAAGGACAGACCATAGGACCCCTCCATACAATTGGAGAATCCTTGTCCACAAGAAATCCAATTGACATGCACTTTACTCCATAGTTTTCAATCGGAACCATCTTTTTATCTGCAAAAAGAATGTAGAAGACAATTACCATCTACCAGAATACCAAAAAAAGGGCAACTTAACATTTCATTCTGGTGGATTAGAACATGAGCAAATTCCCTAACTGGATAAGAGATATATAGGGCTAAACATTTGGTAGGTTCTGCCATTCAAGTTTAGATAGTTTTGGCTATTGCATGCAGTCAAGGGTGGGGGAACCAGGAGTCTTTTTGTAACATTATGGGAGAGAATATAGTATCTAGCTTTCTGTCATTTTGCACTTTTTCTATAAGATACACATGAGTGCGTGTGCGTCTGTGTGAGAGAGAGAGAGAGAAAGAGAGAACAAAAGTTACAAGAAATCATAGCAACAGGAAACATACCATGTAAAGGCAAGGCAAAGCAGGAGGCCAAAATGAGCTGATATGTTAAGATGGCTACTCTATATGATTTACTCAAGGTTCAAAATTTTGTTATGTATCGGCCGATACGTATCGTTCCAACAAAAGTCCAATACATGGAACGTGTAGGAATCATCTGCTGCAATTTTTTTGTAGGTATTGGTCGATATGGGCCCATATCGGGCCGTTTTGGATCCGTATTGGCCGATATGGGACCGCAACAATTCGATACACTTAAATCATTTCATGAGTCCCTTCTTTCTCATTATTTTTTCATTAATCTATATTTAATGTCAAATTCTCCCTCTCATTAATTTCGTTAATTACTCCTATATTTAAGTCCATATTTTCTCTCTCTCTCTCTCATTAATTAGTTAATTACTCAAATTTGAATTTGAATTCTAGCACCTAATTCGAATCCTCTCTCGTTAACTTCGTTTTTTTTACCCATTAATTACATTAGCCATTGATTTTAGCTCTTATAATTGTAAGTATAAAAACTGCAAATTTTAGTGATAGCAAGATTTGAACCTTAGGCTTAGTTTGGAAGGAGTACAAATACAAATATGTAGAGTGCAAAACCTTGTATTTTGTATTATTTTGTATGTATTTGCATTGTACATATTTGTATTCGTACTCCTTCCAAACTGAGCCTTAGTACTTAGGTTTTAATGACCATAAGTTCACCACTAAGCCACACTCGTTTGTTATGGTGATATGCATTTTTACTTTTAAGTAAATTTTCTCTTTTCTTAGTGGATATTTGTCGATAAATGCTAGAATTAATTATTAAAATTTATATATTAATAAATATTAAGATAAAGTATATTGATTATTTGAAAATTAATGTATATACATATTTTAGTTATCCCATCATTTTTCAATGGTTAATAATTGTGTCTTGATATCTCACACTTTATATAAACCATTAAATTATGGTTTTTTACACTTAAAATAACTTATTTACAATCATATAAAACTTGTAATTATTGTTATTAATATATTTTCAGGATTTATTTGAGTTTCCTAGCATATCTATACGTATATTGATTTTTCGTCCATATCCATGTGTATCATGATACGTCTCTTAAAAGTTAAAACTGGCTTTATAATACACCTTGCATTTCCGATACTTTGAACCTTGGATTTACTCAATATGAAAAAGAGACTCAACCAACAAAGTTCAGTAATTGATACTCTAAACAAAATGAAATAAGCTATATAACAAGGATACCTGGGACTGGCAGGCATTGGTGGTGTGTTAAGAGATTCCTCAAGCAAAGTGATGGCAATGTACTCGTGACCTTTAGGCCTTTAGGGGTAGGAGACTCACTATGGGCTGAGTTTTTTTTTTTTTTTTGATTAATCACTAAGGGCTGAGTTAGTACTGCTACAAGGTTTAAAACTTGCTAAGCAAGCAAACCTACAAAACTTGGTGGTCGAAGGGGATTCAAAATTGATTATCTCTTGGACTACCACAAGGTGTAATGTTCCTTGGATTTATAAACACAACCTAGGGAAATAGAAAGCCTGGCAAGGGAACTTCATGTCACCTTTACATGGATCAGAAGGACTGCAAATGGAATGGCAGACTCATTAGCCAAACAGGGGGTCTATAGGCAGCAGTTGTTTTGGACATTATTGTAATCTTTTTTTGGGTTTGATTGATAACTTGCGATTTATTGTAACTTTGTACTTGTTTTCTTCTCATTAATAAAAGTAATCTTTTCTTGCTGATCAAAAAAAAAGGCACAGTCAAGTTTTGAGCACAAGCCAGCACTTTCTATTAAGGAACCTTTTACTATATGCATTTTGCTTTTAACCATGCTTTGCAAAGCACCTTAAACCAGTTCTTATATGGACCAATTCAGCACACATACAGTCTCTTTTTTATTGCATGGCTTCTTTCATTCTTTTTTCTTTTTTTTTTGTTTTTGTTGTCGTTACCAATGGTATGGAATTGAAATTAATACCTATAGTAACTATTTACTTGCATGAACCAAGCTACATCAGAAGTAAGTGCCATAATATATGAGAAAAACTGCATAAAGCCATAAACATATTGGCATTTCAGGCTTTACAAAGTTGGCTGTTGGACCGGTGGCAATGCCAGAACAGATACAAATTAAGGATAATTGGAGGAAATGAAAATGTTCAAACAAAATATTAAGAATGAAAATGTGCATGTAGAAACAGTTACTCCAGTCTGAAGAAATGAATCCAGAAGCAATACCTAGCAGAACATGGGAAGATGATACAATACTGCATATTGTATTAAGTAGTCATATAATTATTTATATTTTACTTAAAAAAATTAAGGATAATTGGAGGAAAAGTTGGTTGATGAAAAAAAAATCCATTCAGCGTATCTAAAGAAGAGAAGGTACCTGTGCAGCTAAAAATTAAGGGATATGTGTATTATATTAAGGCACCAGGGAGAAGAAGTGATCTACTAGTTGAAAGGTTTAGAAGATCCCAGGGCAAACCAAAAGGACATGGACCAAAGTAGTGGGAAATGATTTAAAAGACCATTACTTAACAATGGATATGGCACTGAACAGAGTGGAATAAGAACAAGATTCACAGATCCTTACCCACACAAAGAGTCACCACCACCATCATCATCTGAGCCTTTATCCTAATGATATGGGGTCAGTTTCATGAATCCTGCTTTGTCATTCTGTCCTGTTTAAAGTCATATCCATTGTTAAATTATGGTCACTTGAATCATTTCTTACTACTTCAACCCATGCCCTTTTTGGTCTACCCCTTCTACTGGCAACAGATCACTTCTTCTAATAGGTGCTGTTGATGGCCTTCTATACATGTGATCAAACCCATCTTAGTCTACTTTCTCTCATTTAACCTATTGGAACCACTCCTAGGTCCCTAGGTCCCCTTTTTTTGGTACTATACTCTTAGGTCCCCTTGAATGGTCTCATTCCATCTCAGCATATGCATTTCTACCACACTTTTTTATGAATGAAGATATTAATCACAAAATAAGAGTTACGAGCATCCCAAGAAGAGGCACGAGGTGTGACCTCTTCAGAAAAACCTAAAGAAAATTCTCAAATACAATTTGAATAAGTTACAAGGTGGTCCAAAACAGAGAGTCCTGAGAAACCCCTTATTTGGAATAATGAATCAGCTATAGCATTTGCTGATCTGCTCACCCACTGAACATTAACTCTCATGTCGTCGCTAGTCAGCCAATTCACTTTTTCAAAGAGATTCTATAACCCCAAATGGCAGAATCCAGGTTCAAGAGCCATCTTACCACCACCTGTGAATCACCTTCAATTAAATTTATCAAAAAAAATCACCTTTTATTAATAAGTGCTCCACCCCAAGCTGGTTTGCAATCTGAATCTCTTGTACAACAGCTAGTATCTCTGCTCTTGTAGATTCACCCAGATGTGATTCAAACCAATAAAAGTAGCAGAATATTTTAGATTAAAGCAAAAAAAAAGGAAGAAGAAGAAGACAGCAAGAAGAAGAAGGGAGATTGGAGAAGAAAGGAGAAAGAAAGGAGGAGTTCAATAGTCTCCTCTTTCTCCCACTAATCATTTTAATAAACTTGCTTAAGTTACATAATTTACAAGATTGCCCTTAAGTAGGCGTCTACATCAGCACTATACTTAGAAAACATAAACAAGAGCTAAAGGCCCATAAAGAAAAGGCCCAATAAGAAAACATAACAAGAAAGAACTAATAAGAAACACACTAATGGGCTAGGGCCAATTCTGCCTAGTCCCTCTACACTCCTCAAGCTGAGCATAGATATCCATCATGCCCAGCTTGCTTATATTAATGAACTAGCTTTCCTTTAGGAACACCTTTTGTCAAAACATCAGCCAACTGTTCTTCAAAAGCAACAAATGGAAGACAGACTTCTCCTGAGGCAACTCTCTCTCTCGTATAAAATACCTGTCAACTTCAATGTGCTTAGTTTTGTCATGTTGAACAGGATTATGTGCAATGTTGATAGCAGCCTAATTGTCACAATATAACATCATTGGCCTCCCAATTCATTTAAAAGTGATCTCAACCACAAAAGTTCAGAAACTCCATGTGCCATTGCCCTGTACTCCACTTTAGTTGAGGATCTTACCACTGCAGGCTGCTTCTTACTCCTCCATGATACAATGTTCCCTGCTACCATAGCACAGTAACCTGAAGTTGACCTCCTATCATCAATACATTCGGCCCAGTCAGCATCAGTGTATGCTTCCAGCTTCATGTGTCCATGCTTAGCAAACAAGATACCTTTCCCTGGAGTCCCTTTTAGATAGCACAAAACTCTCTTAGCAGCTACTAAATGTGTATCTCTAGGAGAATGCATAAACTAGCTGATTACACTAACTGCATAGGAAATATTTGACCGAGTCATGCAAAAGTAATAATAACTTCCCAACTAGTCTCTGGAACACTCCCTTATCAGGCAACAGTTCACCTTCAATAGCTAACAACTTATGATTTAGGTCAATAGGAGTAAAAGTAGGTCAAGCCCCCAGTTTTTCAGTCTCCGCAAGGAGATCAAGAACATACTTCCGCTGAAAAATGAAGATACCATCCTTAGATCTGGCAACTTCAATTCCCAAGAAATATCGGAGTTCTATCAAGTCTTTAATTTCAAACTCAGTGTTAAGAAAACTTTTGAAATGAACAACTTCCTAAGTATCATTACCAGTAACCACAATATCATCAACATAGACAACAGAAGGGTCACTAAGGAATCTCTCCTCTTTTTTTTGATAAATAACATCAATTCCATTAAAATAATGAATAGATACAAGAAGATCCCCTTAGAGGCGCGAGGAGCAGCCTCTCCAAATAGCAAATACACAAACTACAATAGAGAAAACATGAATGTTGAAATTAAAACAATAGTTRCAATTGTGCCCAGAACAATGTTTCCCTATTTATCCCTTGTTTTGCCAAGACATCAGCAAAAGCATTAGCTGATCTCCCAACCCATTATACTGTTATAGACATATTTCTTGTCAGCCTTTTGTATTTCTTTAACTCATTTTTGTAGCCCCAAGTGACATCCTCCGAATTATTTAACCAGTCCACCACTGTCTTAGAGTCTCCTTCAATCAGAAGCTGCTCCACGCCCACTTCTTTTGCAAGAAGTATTCCTTTATTGCAGCTAGCAGTTCTGCCCGGATAGAGTTCCCAACTCCTAAAGGGCCAGAGTAGATTAAGACAACCTCTCCAGCCTCATTCCTTAGCACACCTCCCATCCCAGAGGGACCCGGGTTACTCTGGCTACTCCCATCAAAATTCAGCTTCAAAGAACCAAGAGGAGGRGGGACCCAGCTAGTCATTGCCCTTCCCTTGTAGGAGGAACAGCTTGCTACCAACTTCCAATCCTTCCAACAATCAGTAAAAGTAAAATGGTTAAATAATTCTAG